GGTCCCGATAATTATGCAAATCAACTTTAACAATGGAAAACAACTTTGCAGAATAGAGGCCTGTTTCAGTCTTGATTAGATTCTTTCCAAGTCCCTCTCTCCCTTTTTCTACCCCCTTGTATCTCTCTCCTCTCAACTCCTCCCGCCCCATTCCCTTAACACCACTTTCCAAGTGTGCTGGCTTGAAATTCAGGACAAGTGTGACACCTACCTGTGAAAGCAGGGAACCATTTCCCTCTGCCCACCCGGCAGGCCCCGACAGAACGCTGAGCCAGAATTGACAATTCGGGCACTATTTGCGGTGACAGAATACTAATTTAATTCAATCAACTCAAAAGATCAATGCAAAATTTTGTTGGGGGTGGGGTTGTGGTGTCAGCCAAACCGGGTGCCGGACAGTGATTTGAGAAGGATTTTCCCCGGTGGATATTTTCATGCACATTCCTCACATTAAGCCCCAAGTACCTTTGAAATAGTAATAAGGACTAAATCCGGCATAAAATCGAACTCATTAGCTAAGTTCACCAGCTGATTACTTTGCATAAAACACGACACTGATTGGAAGTAATTAGGTTAAGCGATGGTACTCGGTGTATCTATAGCACACTTTTCTCTCTCTTCCCCGGGGTGCCTTATTGGACATATAGTTTTGTTTTCTTCCTCCTCCACCCCTACTCCGCCCCCACTCCTCACCATAAAAGGCTTTATTGGATCCTTTTTTTTCGGTTTTCCCGAATCAACCTTAATCCTTACCCAAATTTGGAGTTCTGGACAATTGGAAAGTCCTTGGGCCTGAAGCCTATTTCGTTTACCTCTGGTTTTCAACGCCAGTTCTAAATAATACTTGTACCCTTAAAATATCAACCTTAAAAAAGTTTCGGTTAGCACTTTTTTGTCAGTGGCTATGGGGATTGTCTAGGTTTCAAAAAAAAAGTAATGAATGGCTTTGATTATGTTAAAATCTCTTTTAATTAAATATTTTGCATTTTACAAAGGCGACTGCAGTTTTTTTAAATCTAATAAGTATAACCTGTTTCCTTTCTTTAATAATACTTTAGCTCATACCCAGAAAAATCAATAGGTGTAAAAAATTAAATTAAACTTGTATTTTTAAACTATGAAACAGCTTGGGAAAACACAAATGTATATATTTATATTACAAAACAACATTAAATGCCTGTACAGGTGTCTTGATTTCATAATTTACTTCAAAGATATTGTATTATCAATTTAAATACAAAATGCTACATTAAATATACAGAATAAGATTTAATACAAATCCTTTTTTTAAATTTTTTCTTTTCAGTTGGTTAAGACATTTTTGGTGGAGATGTTTACATTTTTATGCCACTCATCTCCATAAACTATAAACTTTTGGATAGGAGGGTTTATTTTATTTTTCTCTCTTGGTGGCGGAAAAATAACTGCCAAGGCCATGTTTTAATAAATTAGAAAAGTCCGGGGCCGAAGCAGCCCGTGTTAAAAGTCGGACATACCTTTCTTCAGTTCAAAGGGAGAGTCTTTGCACAGGTCTAGCTGTGATTGGCTTCTGAGCATTTTCGTTTCTTTAGCCAAAGCGTCCGCTCGATTCAACACGGTCTGGTTTAATCCATTGAAATGTGGACCGGGGGCTGGGGCGGGACTCGGCCCCGGCCCTGGATGGCCGTGCAGGTGGCCAAAGGAGCCATAGTTCGTGTAGCCGGGATAGAAAGGGGCAGTGTAGTAGAGAGGTCGGGACAGAACCGCACCGCCCGGGAATGGGCACTGAGCGGAGGGTGAACGCGTCGGGGAGGGAGACGACCGGCTGCCAGCCAGGGTTTGCCCGGCTGTGGGCCCTTGCCCTGGGGGAGGGCCCTCACCACCTCCGCCGCCTCCTTCCTTGGACTTGTCCGAAGAGGTGGCGATCTCAGCTAATGACCACAGTTTGGGCTTGGCTAGTACTGCCTGCGGCGGCGAGTGAATAACTGAGGGCCCGCTGGGGCCGGAGGGCAACTCTCCGGCTGGGTGTGGGGCTGGAGCTCCCGGGGGATAGTGTGGAGAGGGCTCCTCGCCCAGCCTTGCAACCGGGCCAGAGGGAGAAGGGCCGCCAGCCCTGGGACCCCCTGGGACAGTGTCCAGCCGGCCCTCATGGGACTCTTTAAAATCCGAGTCGCTCAGGTTGCCTTCGGCCTCCTTGCTTACGGGGGTATGGGGCCCCTCCAGCCTTTCGCAAATAGGAGCCGCCTTCTGATCTCCCCCTGCCATCGAGGAACACAGAGTTAGGGACGCTTGAGTCCTCCCTCGGCCACCCCTGTCCAGTACGCACTATTTCCCAGCTGAGCCCCCGGTTCTGTGACCGAAGGGTAGCAAACACACCCGGCCAGATCCTCGGCCTTTCTGCCTTGTTCTTCTTGTATGCCCTAGTTCACCATCCTTCTTATACCTCTCTCCTCCTCCCCACCTCCCACGTTCCTCTCTTAGATACTCTCTATCGACTCTTCTCTTTTCTGGTGGAGATAACTTCGACTCCACTAAGGTTTTCCTCTCTCCCATCCCTTCTCCAGCCTCAGCCCAGTGCCCCATTACTTTGCATCCACCAACCTGTTTCCGGGGCCTCTGCCTCTCCCTTATCATCCGGCTTCTGTGGTTCATCCTCATCGTTCTTCTCCAGGTCGATGTTTTCTTCTTCTTCTTCGTCCTCGCTCCGGTTCCGTGGGGTCCAGGTCATCTTGTTCTCCTTCTTGAGGCGCCTCCGTGCGTTGGCGAACCAAGTGGAGACCTGAGTGAGGGTCATCTTGGTAATGATGGCCAACATGATCTTCTCGCCTTTGGTGGGGTACGGGTTCTTGCGGTGCTCATTCAGCCAGGCCTTGAGCGTTGCCGTGGCATCCCGGGTGGCGTTTTTCCGGTAGGCTGGATCCCCATAGGGATAGGACCCCAAGGGTGCAGCATAGGGATGGTATCCTAAGGACCCTGCCATGCCCGGGGTGTGGTCGTAGGGTGAGCCCTGCAGAGTAGACAGTCAGATAGCTATTTAGAGTACGGAACCAGAGCCAGGCAGGCACTAGCTGTAGGACACAAAACGCCCTGTTTTGTTCGGGAAAGAAGAACACTGGTTCCACTCTGGGAGGGAGCGTGGCCACAGGGGACAGCTCTCTGGCCTACTGTGGAACAAGGCTAATGGGCCTAGACCCTGAGGGAAGCAGAGTGGTTGCCTCCCTTCATCCTACTCGAGGCCCCGAAGACAACCAAGGCTCTAATTCTAGTTGCCCACAACCTCAGGGGGACCAAGGAGCAGTTCCTGGGGACAGCGTGGTGGTGTTGTGACACTCCACAACCCCATCTGCCTGGGCATTTCAGCCTTTCTAGCTCACGGACACTGCCACCTCATTCTTGACAAAACCCGGGGCAGAGAAGCAGAAGAGCTTAGACTCCGCAGAAGCCGAAGTCTTTCGCCTTCCTTCGAACTGTAAGACTGACGGGGTGGAGAGTTACTGCGGATATGCAGAAGGGAAGTGAAAACTAAGAAAGGGAAAACCCAACGCTTACTACAACCAAACAAAACCAGGACCACCAGCAGAAACCGAGGAGTGGTTTAGGAAAGTGCGCCGGTACCAAAAATCCCGGTTGCACCGCAGCTCCACTGTCTTTTCGGAAATGTAATACCTCTAAATCGGATTGTAGAGATAGGATTACGGATTTGCAGTATTTTGGAGGACTAATTAAAGGCGAGGCAGAAGACATTTACATATGCTTATCATCTTTCTCCCCTGATTTTTTTTTTAATTTGGGGTGAAGAAAAAGGATTGCCCGAAGCAAGGTATTCAGTGTTTTAATTAAACGATGCATTTTAATTGTCGACTGCTGCGATGCAGCTTACCCTGAAATCCCCTTTTTGCAAACTCAAGGCTTTCGCTTCCTACCAGAAGGACACCTTTTCTTCCCTGAGAAAGTGCTTTGGAAATTTTCTTAACACAAGGGCTAGCTAGATCAAAAACACTAAAGTTTGGAAGGAGGCACTAACCACTTCATTTGTTCTTCTGCGGAAACACAAGGGTAGCCTTGCCAGGCGAAGCTTTTGCTTATACAGCGCCCCCCACCCCCAACTCAAGCCCAGCCCAGCCCAGCCACCCACAGACATGGAAAGACACAGCTTTCAGCCCAAGCCGTTTGCCAGGCAGCTGGGGCTGTTCCCCCCGTCGGTCTTACCACGTACGAAGTGAAGGCGGCTGCTGCTGCGGCAGCTGGGTCCGTGCCGTACTGGAGGTGAGAGTTGTAACCCGGTGAAGGAGCGGTAAAAGCGGTAGATCCAGCGTAAGGAGAAAAAGCGGAGCCCGAAGAAGAGCGGCCAAGTTCATCGGTGCGAGGTCCCGAGATGACGCTGGTACTGTAAGCCGGGCAGGAATAGAGAGCCAGGGAGGCAGACGGCTGGTACAAGTAGCCCTGAGGGTAGGACATGGCCAAACAGAGGCATACAGTGCCCGGTGCAGCCGTGGAATGGAACCCGGTCAGCCCCCTAGGAGCAGAGGTGCCGGGGCTTCTGGGTGCCCGGCACAATCAGGGCGGGCGGCTAAGCACCTGGCCTCCGGGCTCTCCGCGGCTACAGCGGCTCCTCGCTCGCTCCCCGCGCCTGTAGGGCTAACGCTGCCGCTGCCTCTGCTCCTGCTGCGGCTCCTCGCTCTCAGGGTTTTTTCTTTTTCTTTCTTTCTTTTTTTTCCTTTGGACTGGGGGGGCTCTGCTTTTTGCTTCGCAAAGGTCCTGCCAAGATGCTAAGTTGGAAATTGAGGATTCTGACGCCTTCTACGCGCCCCGAAGCTCCTCCTTCCCGGGGTGTTGTCAATGGAAGGAATGGCAGGATCCTGCTGGGCGGCCGCAGCCAACCCGGCCGGCAGGAGCGCCTCTCCCTCTCCCTCTCTTCCTTTCCTTCTCCCTCTCAGGCTAGCTGGCTGGTTCCCTTGCCCCTCCCTCCTTCTGTCTCTCCCTCCCTTCTTCCCTCCCTCTTTTCCTCCCCCTCTTCCCGCTCCCCTCCCCCCTTTCCCCTTGCTCCCTCTCAGTTGCAGACTCTAGCGCGCCGGCCCCTGGATGACAATCACATCCCAGCCGCAGCGATCAGCTCCAACTTTCTTCATTAGCTAACTACTGTTGGAGCCGTCACATTGCTGAGGATTTATCGCAGCCAGGATTGCCCTGGAACACAAGCCAATCCGTTTATGAAAAATAAGAAAGGAGATTGAATATTCGCTCATTTATTTCCTTTGTTTTCTTTCCACAGTAAATAATTGAGCGGATAAATAACGGAGATAAGAGTACTAGGTGTGCAATTGACTGCATGGAGATCCCTGCCCTACCGAGGTTTCGTCCCCTACCACTTTAGGAAACCCGGACCAAGTCTGATAGGCGGAAACGACGAGGCTGCGGTGTGCCCCGGAGAGGAGACTACAACAGCAATGTTAAGGAAGTGTGGAGTAAACACGGCCAGGTCCGGAGGAGGACTCGGCCAGCAGCAGGTGGGCAAGTAAGGGGATCTTTTCATTTAAATGCGTTTGTCCCCCGGGCTTTGCTCCATTCTGCTGGGAATGTCCGAGATGGGGCAATGGGGCAGGGTCTCTCTCTCTCTCTCTCTCTCTCTCTCTCTCTCTCTCTCTCTCTCACACACACACACACACACACACACACACACATTCAGTCTCTCTTTTCTCTCTCACACACTCATATACTCAGTCTCTCTTCTCTCTAACACACACACACACACACACACACACACCTCTCACACACATTCGGTCTCCTCTCTGTCACACAGTCTCTTTTTTCTCTCACACACACTCAGTCCCTCTTCTTTCTAACACACACACACCTCTCGCACACACTCGATCTCTTTTCTCTCTCACACACACTCACACTTCTCACAATCTCTTCTCTCACACACATACTCTTTTTTCTCTCACACACACACTGATCCCCTCCTCTCTCTCTCTCTCTCTCTCTCTCTCTCTCTCTCTCTCTCTCTCTCTCTCTCTCTCTCTCTCTCTCTCTCTCTCTCTCTCTCCCCCCTTACTTTAATGGAGGGGAGATAGACGGAGAGGACTATGAAGAGGAGAGGACTTGGTGGCGGCAAGAGCTTCTCCCTCGCTTCACTGAAAAGCTGCATAAGCGACTACTGTTCCATACTCTGTGCACCCAGGATCAACCATGCCTTACAGCTTCCTTTCCTGTTCCGGCACCAACACGCCCAGTCAGACCTAGGGTTCCTTTTTCTTTCTCTCAACTCCTTTTCTAGTCTTTCTATGGTTACACACTCACTACCCACTGAATCTCTCTGTGTGTCTTGCACTCGAATACATACGTAACCGGAAAATATTTATGAAGCCCCTAAGAGGCACAAACACAGCTTGAAGCCTCTTGCATACACAAATGCAGAAACCACACACTCACATACACAAATACAGAACCAAGCAACACACGGAGACACGATCACAAGCCTCGTATAGACATGCAGTCATCAGTCTCACACTCAGACACATGCAAAAAACTCACATATCTCATACATGCCCTGGCTTCAGACAAAGACACATTCAGAGCTATAAATCTTCTATACACAAAAATATACAGGGTCTCAAACACTGCCACTCAGTCCCTTTCACGAACCAGCACTCACACTTGAATCTCTGCCTTCTCCCTATCCCCCCTGAACGTTTTGTCAGTCACCAATTCTTTGTCCTAGAGTCACAACGGCACGGTATCTCAAACACCCCAACATGGCCAGTTGCATTATAAGTGCTTTAAGAATGCGCCTAGCACAGAGGCTGGGCACACAGTGTCGAGAAATGCTTAGCTAACTCATACTACCACATACTACTCAATATACGTACTACATAGGCTCGTACACACAAACTCACACTCGAGTTTCTTTGATGTGCACAAGTCACACTTTCCTTTCTGGCCTTCTGCCTACACTAACATACTAACATCCCCACACACAGACTGCATACACTCACACTCCCAAGCTAATCTAGATGCTCCAAGACTCCGCCTCTTCCCTGCCCCGCCCCGCCCTCCTTGGTTCTCCCGCATCGATCTAAACTCCCCTAGACTACATTCTCCGAGAGCCTCTCTGTCCGCCCCGCCTCCCAGAGTGGTTTTTACCTCTGATTGGACACCGGCTTCAACTGGCTCCGCCCTTAACGTCCACCTTCTCCTTCTTCCAGAGTCACTGCGCCGCGAACGGGGGTGGGGTTGGGCGGGGCGCCGTGGGCGCTATTGTCATGGAGACGAGAAGCTGGCGACGTTGGCGGCTGGGCCGAGCTGACTGGACCTCGAGGTGTAGCTGGGCTGGCAGCGCAGAGCAGGGGCGAGGTGGAGGTTGCCCAGAGCATGAAAGATAAGCCGCAGGTCGAGCAGAGACGGCGAGTCCTGGGCGGCTTGTGAGAAGGCGCTGGCCCTGGGGCTCTGCGAGCGGCGCCGGGGAGCGCCCCCCCCTGGCCGGGCCAAGCTGTCCCGAGAGCGCCTCGGCTTCCCTCCCTCCTTCCCTTCTTCCCTCCCTCCTCCCGCCCCTTAGCGCCAGCCCTCGGCTCCGCCTGCGCCGCGCCGCTCGGCTCCGCTGCAGCCCCTCCGGCTGCCCGCCCTAACGATCTGTAACGGCCGAGGGCCCAGGGAACCAGTCCGCTGGCGCGCGCTGCCCGAGAGCTCGTGCGGAGGCCGGGCTCCCGAGGCCCGCGCGCCGCCGCCGCCGCCGCCGCCGCCGCCGAGATCCAGGTGAGCCGCCTCAGGGGGAGGGGGCGGTAAGGGATGGGCTTGGGCCCGAGGCTGGCCTCGGTGACCCGGCCGGCCGGGCTCCGGGCCGAGTAACTTTCCTAGGGGCTGTGTCAAAAGTGTGTCCTCCAGAACTGGCTGCCAGGCTGGCCGACTGTCAGTGTTGCTCGACTTTTGTGGGTGCGTTGCCACGTCTTCCTCGAGGTCAAGGTCACGACGGGGATTGCCCCAGGACGTGGAGCAGGGTCTGAGGATACACAGGGAAGGGGGCGGTGGAGGGGTCACCCTCCCAGGCAGTGCCCCCCTGCGGGGCAGCCTCTACGTGCTTGTGTGTGTGTCCGAGGGTCCGAACCTGTGTGCCGAGGTGTAACATCCCTGAGCACTCGTGTGTGTGTGTATGCATGCGTGTATGCGTGCGTGAGTGTGAGCGCTCGCCCCAGTCGCTGCAGTGTTTCATGTATTCTTCCCTAATCCAGGGGGTTGATTAATGAAATGTAGCCAAAGAGGTCTGTGCCATCATGAATATAAGAGTCTGTCAGAAAGACATCCTCATTACATAATTCTACCACTTTTCTTTTTCTCCATCTTAAGAAAAGGACTGTAGAGAATCCTGGAAGATACTGAAACATTTAGAGTTTATGGTTCTCTTGCTGTGGTTGTCACCTTCGCTTTATGTCAAATTTAAGACTCATTTCTTAAGGATGTCTCTATTTTCTGCTTTATTTGCACATTGATAGCTCTGTTGCATGACTGGCCACCATAGCCGTTTTCTAGAATAGAATTGTATTAAAATGTGAAAGGGAGGACTAATCTTTAACAATCTGACTGAATTCAGAATTCCTGATGACATAACTATTTTAAAAGGAAAGCTTTAAAATAGTTTGTTAATAAGCATCCTTTTTTTTTAAAGTTTGGTCTTGACTGCTGCAGATTTGAATTTTTATGTATATTCAGCTAAAATATCAACTTTATGATTTGTTAACCTACATAGCTGTCAACAAGTGTGTGTCCTCTGGTCTCTTTATGTCAGTGAAAATATCTTTTTCTAAAAAAGGAGGTGTGGCCACACTTTCTTGACTGTGGCACCTGAATACATTTTTCATAATTGATAATGTCATTTGAACTTTTTTACATTTTGACTTAATTGGAATATACACTTGTGTTGAGATTTTTAAAAATCAGAATTAACTTGTTCTAAATGTACAATTATGAAAGAATTAGATGAAAACATTAGATTAGGGTTTATCATATGTAGATTCCATCATATATTATTTATAATGTTTTATTTCATAAAACACCTCACTTACAGTAATTGTAACTAGTTATTATTTCGTTTTACATTCATTTTTTATGTGTGACAAAAATAAGAATTTTTTTTCAAATAATATGTATTAGATGTGTAACCATTTCTTAGTATTTCTCTTTGGGTTTGATGCACGACTCACATGGAATACAGTTGTCATTGTAGAAAGTTAATAGACTTCATTTTCTTTGCCTAGTATAATAGTTTTTCAAGTATTGAACTTTAAAGACTAATAAAACTAGGTCTGTTGTATTTTAAAGAAGTAATCATGCTTGTGTGAGACAAAACTAGCACAAGGAAAGGCAACAGATTGGTTCTGTCATATCACTTTGCTGTTTTGGAGTGTACTTAAAGGATTATGATTGATAATGCTGTCTTGCCAAAGAATGTTGACACAGGTGTTCACCATTTTCTTAATTAAGATCCTGAAAAAAAAAATGTTGTCTATATGGTGTTGTAGAAAGGACAGTATATTTTTAGTCATTTTTGCTTTGGAAAGATTTCACTGTACCCAAAACCTTACTTAAATTTTGTCAGCCCTCTGGAGATAAGTATTATATAAAAAAAGATAAATTAATATGAAATATAGTATTGCTACTCGTGACTTATTGGCTGTCTTGTATGTTATTGTTTTTCTTTATATTGTGACTTGACTGAATAATGGCAAATAGTTTAGAAAGCAATGTATGAAATAGAATATTTCAGGTACATTTTGGTGAGGGAGTAAAATACCAGATAATCAATACATTTTTAGAGGAAGGAAATTTAAAGTATAGAAAACAGAAATGCAATAAAATATATAATGTTGATGCAAAAAATATTATTCCTCTTCATTTTTAGAAAAATCATAATTCTTATGTTTTTAAAAAACCCAAGCCCAGTTTTTTTATATTATAAAGCAGCTAATCTCATCATGATTATAGAATGCCTTGTTTTTTGTTTCAAAAAATATGAAGTATGCAGAATGAAAATGAGATGATTATTTTCTTCCTTCAAAAATAAATAATCAATTTATTAGTGAAGAAATATCATGAACATACTATTAATATTTTAAACCTCTAAACTTTAGACTGTTACCTTTAACATACTATAATACCATACTAATGCCTCTTCTCAAATTTCTGGACAGAAAAACAATAATAATGCTGTAATTATTGATTATAAAACCTAATGGCTTAGCTTACAGACTTTGATATTGGTAATGCAATAAGATTTTTTTTAACTCTTTGCAGTCCATTATTTCCAGAAAACTAATTGCAAGCAATACTTTTTATATTAAATCACAGTCCAAAAAGAAGTGAAAGAAAAGAGAAGGATGCAATAAGTAGATGATAGAAGCCATGTGTAGATTCACAAGGCCTTCCCTCATGTCATATTTAACTAGTTAGAATTACATGATATACTATGTATTTAGAGAAACAATTTAAAAAATTTTTTGTGCTGAAACTAAAACAACTATGTTTAAATCAGTGCAGTATTTTTATTGATAATTTATAGATTTTTTTCTCTTTAGAGTAAGTATGACAAAACATCTTTAGGATGTTATCTATTTGAAATCTTAAAAAATTCTCTATTATAACTGTTCTTAGAAATACTGTGGAATTTCAGACTGCTCTTTTATTGGAGCACCAAGCTTAATTAGCTGTCTTCTGTTTTTATGAATAATGTAGAGTGATTATAAACATAACATCCTAATAAAATAAGAAACTTAGGAAAATTTTAAGTTCTGCAAAAATGAATAACATGCAAAAACAGATGTGATCTTTATGATCATTGTGTGAATTAAATTTCTTATGAATGGTTTGTGAAAATGAAATACTTTGAAACATTTTGTCTCAGGAGTCTCACATGACATATTGAATGTGGTGCCTGTATATGAATAATGTACAATCCACAGTCATCTTACAAGTAATTTTCCCCAGTTTTTATTTATTAGTCCAGTGTGCTTTAGAAAGTTTTCTTGTTTATCTGCATGTTTATTAACTATTTAACAGAATGTATTTTCTTAATAGAATAACAGCTAGCTTACAGTAAGAACATGTAATTTTTTTCATATTCACCAATAATACTATTAAAATGCTGATTATTTATGTCTCCATGAATATTTATGTCTCCATGAATGTACAGTTTCTTTATATGTATGACATACTTAAACCTCAGTTTGGCTTGGCAATTATCTTACTCTTTTCAAATTAAAAACTAGCATTTTAAAATAATTAAATTCATAATCCATTTTATTAAGGTTTCAAAAGTAAGACTATAATTTTCTTCTGCATTTGTCATTTAAAGTAATCATCTTTTTTCTGTAGCTAATGATCTTCCAAATTTTGATATATAAATTTATTTTCTATAATAAGAAGTGGTATGGCAATGGAAACTAGAAGTTCGTATTTGATATCTCTGAAGTTCTTACTAGTCTTCCATAATTCATCAAATAGTATTACTTCCATTTTCTTTGCTTGTGATAAGCTTGACAGTTCCACAATACATCTAACTGTTTTCTGCTTAAGCCATTTCTTCATCATGGTTTCCTCTGATAATGTCTTGCTAAATTTACCATTTTATATTCTTAGTCTTCTCCCAACCCTTTAAAATATTTTCTGCAAGGTAAAAACAAACCAGAAAAAAAAACCACAATAAATTATTAGTTTGCCAGAAACATTTACATATGTCATCGAGAGCCAATTATACAAAACACATAGTGTTATGTAAGATGTGCTTCTGTAAAGACTTAAACTAATGCTTTGAACAAATACATTAATTCATTATGCTTAAGATAATGATCAGATGTAAACCCAGCTGAAATTTCTTATTATGACTTTGTAAGAGCTATAGCTTCTTGCTATGTAGTGCTACGACCCCTTCCATCAAGTCAATTTTTTGTTGTTGTTTTTTCTTACTATTACCTTCCACCAAATCTCAAAGACACTTGTGAGATTGTATTTACCATATTTTATTAAAAATTGGAGTTTATTTTTTTTACTCATAGTCTACATGCTAGTGTAAAGGCATGAAAGCTTTTATATTATAAGTATTGTTCCCGACCTCTTTTTTTTTTCTGAGTTACTAGTACTTCCTCTACTATTGGCCTCCATGGTATTCAGTTTTACATTATTATTTGGGCATTCTCTCCCCCCTTTGGGGGAATTGGAAGCATTAATTCTTATATAGAGACACATCCATATGAAATAGACACTGATGTTAACATACATGTATGTATATGCACATATAAATCAGCAGCAATAATTCAAAATTAAATCACGCTTTAGATAGTCTTATATTTGGTTCCTTGTATTAATACCTTTTTTTGAGATAATTATTTTTATAATTATTGTAAATTTATCATTTATAACCAAGTTCTTTTAAATTTTAGTAAGATCAAATATTAGATCTTAAATCATGCCATGTATGCTTACTTATTCTGAAGATCAAATGCATACAGATGTGCTATGATTGCTATTACTAATTGAATTTGAAGCCTTATTTAGGAGTTGAGCTCCTCAGAAGAGCTGGAATATTTACAGTTTTGGAAGATGGTTGATAGTATTGTTTAGTAAGTAGAATAAGACAGAAGAATTCAAAATACTGAACTTTTTGTGTTTGCAATGAAAAGCGTTGTGCAAAAAAAAAATCATGACAGACTAATTTTACCAAAGGATATTATAGTTTGCATAACTTTAGATAGAAAACCTTATGATTTTATGTAACTCTTGTTCAAATGATAAAAATAATACTTGCTATCAACTAGATATAAAATTAGTGTATTCTGTGAAAAGCTACCTTTTAAATAATGCAAACTTGTTTTTGCCTGTTAATAATCTCTGATGATATCTGAGATGTATCTTTGTATTTTATATACCACAGAAGCAAAATCAAGTAAGAAACTTATATACGTATATATCATATTAATATAAATGAAATGTTATATTGATTAGCTCCCTGGTAATCCTTAGCTGGTCAAAAAACATAGATAGAAGGGTAACAGTAGCAAGAAAGATGGCATGAGCAGTTAATTCTATTTAAGCATTACTGTATATAGGAAGAATGTACATGAATATACATATATCACATTGGTTAGGTTTTGTAGCTTTTGCTTTCACCTAAAATTATTATTGTTTAAAGGTCATGTTGTGTGTCATATTCTAGCTATGATGTAATATTTTTAAAGAATAAAAGCATTAATTACTGGCTTCCATTTTTTGGATACCGGTAATAGCAATGTATTTTTCATGAAAATGAAGTAAATAAATCCTTGAATGTGGAATGAGTTCACATTGGTTAATGGGAAATGTTGTAGGAAATATTGTCTAGTGGAAACACAAAATTCCATGTTTTAAGAAATCGAACTTTTCAAGAATTGTAAAAGAATTAAACTTTAATTCATGGGAAAAGATAGTAAAAAGTTGAAGCTGGTTGTGAGGGGTAACAATTGTTACTTTTCTCTTTGAGATTCTTCAGTCAGCAGTGGATCTTCTAATTACGAAAGAAGAAAAGGAGAAAATTATTCTGAAGATTTAAGGTAATTTTTTTGTATCTTAACACTTTTCCTTTCTAATCCTGAACCATTTTCACTTCTAGGGATTTCTTATAAATTCAATTTTCTCCCAGGTTCTAGTGTGGAAATATAAAGGTTTTCCCTGCAAAACAGTTGAGCTGGCTACTCAGATGACTGTGGGCTGCATTAGAAGCATCTGGGAAGTATCTTTTAGGTTATACTCAGCACCCTGCAATAACTTCCTTCCTGAAGTAAGAGTTGTGATTATTTACTCCCCTGTTGCCATATATGGCATTTTAGTTTATGGTCAGAATTTCAAAGATACATTAAGCCTGCTGTTTCTCCCAATGTTTACTTCCAGTTTTCTGCTTATTTAAGTTTGAAATGTACTTTCAGGTTGATTAACTGGCTGCCAGAACTAAACCTCGAGGTCAGAAGACTTGTGGGTAACAACTGGATTCCAGAACTCTGTCAGAGAGAGATGAGTCCTTAAGTAAGAGACATGAAGCTCATTTACATGAGTTCTTTTCCATGCTACAAAGATATAAGCTTCTTTCCTTTTTTCTTTAAGGCTTTGTGTAATAGACCTTCCTTCCTCCCTTGATACATAGGCTTGCTGCTTATTTTGCAGCTGTTGCCTGCCTGGGTTCATAGAAGACTTTGGTTGTTTTATTTTGGAACCTAACTTAGACTGATTTTGCATGTGTTATGTTTTCATTTTTTTTAAAGAATTTAATTTTGGTGTTAAAGGAATCCATCTAGGATTTTTGAATGGTAAAAAATAGAGTAGATTCAATTTGTTATCTACATGGAGAGAGCCTCTTTCTCATGATGCTGCGTTGCCATGGTGAATATGCATGTTAAATTAAAAACAGAGTAAAACCCTTTCATAAAAGAACAATTACCAGGCCTAAGAATGTTTATTCAGGCCTAAATTGTGCACTGGTATTTGTATCTAATTTTTTTTTAAAGGAAAAAGATACACTTTTCTGATCAGGAAAAATACCTGGCCTTTTTCTTCTATCTATGGAATAATATTAAGAGAAAAATAAAAATCTGTTCTCTGGTGTCTAGTTATGTAATTAGGAAACTGGAAAGGATACGATGACTAAAATAGTTTCTTCCCTTAAGAGAACTAGTATCCATTTGCAATGTAACCTTTAAGAAATCTGACTCAGTGTTCAAATTGGGTCAAATGTACTTGTATGTTTCCCTTTGCTGTGGGGTTGGCCAGTCTCATCCTTTCATTGATAACTATGTAAAGGCAATAAATAGTTTAGGAAATCATAGAAATGTGATCTAGGGGAAAAAAATGTATACAGAAATGATTTCATTGAAATGGGTTTTTAATCTGTTTAGGAACAATTCAATACTATTGCCAGGACTAGCTTTTATGTTTCATATAGTGGATAAATATATAAGTTTAAGCCCTTTAAAATTTAGTTTGAAGTTGTACATATCAAGTATAAAGAGAAGATATATTTTAAATTTTGTGTAGGCTTTGCTTCCTTTCTTAAAATAAGCTGCTACATAATTACAAACATGGGGTGTCATCTTTATTTATGGAGGTCAAAAAGAAAATATATTATTTGAACAACAGATATCCTTAATAGTAAGTCCTTCTTTAGAAGAGTGATTCTGATCTCATTTCTTCTTGCAAAAACAACAAAACCCCTTATATTCTGCATTGTCAGTGTTGCCTTTTTAATTGAAATTTAGATTGTATAATGGATTTTTTAAAAACGTATGTTACGGTGCATTTATGAATAAATTTTAGAATCTCAGGCTAGTTAAGGGAATCACTACACAGAAAAGCAGTATTGATTAATTTAGAACTGTAAAAAGAGGGCAGGCATTTCTGTTTTCAACTGAAATTTACTAATGTAGCAACCATTTAAATTAAATGTTTGTTAACATAATAGTGATGGCATTTCTCCTCCTCCTCCTTGTGGCTTTGTCCAAATAGATGTTATAGTGGCAGTTGCACTGACTGTTAAGTACTTAAATGATGACACCATTATGTGAAGTGATTTTGAAATGAGAGATTCAAGCCAAGAATTACATCTGCTCCCATCTCCTTCAAATCATACTCTCTGGCAGTGCAGATTATGATTGATTTGTTTGTGACAGATTGCAGGAAACAGTCATTGATTTTTCAATATTTTACCTTAAAATTATTTACAGTTGTAACCATGGGGAGGTATTTCCATGGGCTGTCAGCCCTTGAAAGACTGGGATAATATTCCCTGCTCTCTGACAAGACAAATTACCTGTAATGAGTGCAGTAGCTGAAGGGTATACTTTTATTTTAAAATATGTCAATAACCCCAGTGACTAAACGAATATTGATTTAGCATAATGAAGCCTGAGTAACGTGAAAATGAGCTCTTCAAGGAGCATGGTTAAGACTTTCTTTTTAGCTAGTAGCAAGAAGCTTTTCATTCTTTGCTGCTAGCTTCTGGAAATATGTGGCTTTATAAGCAACTCATTAATAACGATAGGCAGAATTCTGTACATGATAACTGGAATCTCAATATTTTGCCATTGCCTTTTGAGACAATTTCATAAACCTTACTTTGTGATTTTCATTTAGTCATGGAATAGTTATTGATTTGCCTCCCAACATTATTTTTAACTAGTTTAATAGTACTTTCATTTAAAAAAAATATGCAGCTTTGCAACTGCAATAATGAATATTTAAGTAAAACTAAATAAATGGATGTTAATAAAAATCAGAATAAATATATCAATATACTTAAAGTGGTTAGAGTTAAACATTTTATATTTTAACTGTTATAGTAGTTATAATTCTGTATAGCAACCTTTGACATCAGATTCTTTTTTGTTTTTAAGTAGTTTATCAAATTATGTTTTTGCCCGTTCAAATAATACTGAACCTTTTATGGAATAGCAAGATCCCAAAATGTGAATTCCCTGATCTAAAAATGATGGTGTCAGTGGAGTATGTAAATTTATGGACATAGTTCGCCAAGGAGCATGAAGTCTTTTCATTTGAGTAATTATACTCATAAGTCACTTCTCCTAGGGAAAAAAAGATAAAATATAAATAATGCCAAGAATATTTGGTTGAAGAATCAGTGTGTTTGATATAGGATATATAGGATATCAAACTGATTTCTTTTACAGGGCCTAATTCAATTTAGGGTAACTAATACTAATGTTAATAATGGCGGTCAAATCTTTTTTAGAAAACAAGACATAGTGTAAAAAACTTTAGATTATTGTGCTGTGATTGAATACAGGTCTATGAATGTTAGTCTTATGACATTTGAAATGTTGAAATAATTTTTAAAAATAGTACCTGAAATACACATTTATTGTTTTGGTTTCTCCTAGGAATTGACTTAAGTGATATCTGTCAATCTCAGAAGTTATATTCTTACAATAAATGTGATGCTTTATAAAATACTGGAGCTACGATTTCATATGCAGTAAGATTTAATTTCTCAATTCTCCTAAAATTTCTTTCCTTTTCTCTCTAGAGATACTAAAAATATGGTAATATGAGGGAAGAACCCTCAAACCAACTCTTTAACTTGATTTGTTGCCAGTAGACTTGGCTCTCAAACTCTTAATTTGTCTCTCATGCATAAGTTGGTTGAATTTCTATCAAACTGTTTCTTCATTTGAAGTAGAACAAGTATGCATGTATTCTCTCAAACATTTTAAATCAAAGTATATATACTCTTCAGGGGAAAAAAAAGGACATATGCAAATTAAATTGCTGATCTTATTTTTATAGTAGAGTGGAGCTGTAAAACTATAAACAATCAATACTGCTTGATCTCATTTATTTAATTCAACATTTTACTTTGATATATGAATATGAGAAACTATTAGGAAAGAATAAATATAGATAAATACGCATGTTGCTTTTTGGGTATTGTTCACTTTTTTGTACTTGATACCCCATTTTTTCATCTTTTTATTTCTTTACTTAAACTACCTATCTCTTTAGCGAAAATAACAAAAAAGGGATTGTAGAGGACTGTGTTTCTGAAACATTTTAGTGTCAAGTGAGTGACCTTATTGCAGTTAGTTAAAAAACAGATAAAAACAAAATATTTACAAACAAAAATAATTTTTTCATTACTGAAAATTTATTTTTAAACAAATGTTTTACTTGTACCAAACCAGCTGCATCCTCTTTCATATATATGTATGTACGTATATTTGCATATAAACACATGTGTATGTATAGATGTATGCCTATATATTGTTACTAATTACTGTCTAGTTTTAATCAGATACTGCAATATAAACAGATAATCCAATTTTCAAATAACTGTTAGCCCACTATATGAGGATATTGGCCACTTATGTGGAACAATATAAAAACATTCAATGTTGCCACTGTGAAAGTTGGGATGCTTAATATTGATTTTATTCTGCCTAGCTAATGTGATTTTTAGTAGTAACATTTTTAATAAACTGATTATTCTGCCATGAGAATGTTAATTTTATTTCTTTAAATAACTAATTTTTAATATTGATGTATTATTGGTTTTTTCCCCACTGAGTTAAATTTTTCTGTCATTGTTTTAAATTATTGAAAGAGCAAAGTTAAGTGCAATCACCAAGTAGTAAAGGACTGAACATGATAACTGAATTCTTTCTCTTTTTCTTTTTAGATTCAGTCATCTGTGAATGAACTTTTCTGCAAGTCTCCTTTCTTGTGCATCTAGATAAAAGGACATTGAAAAAATCAAGTTTTTAAATAGTTTAAATATCCCTAAATTCACCTGTTTCTACACTAGCCCCTGAGTTGTTATAAAAGATGATTACTCTGTATTGAAATTGCCAGTTTTATTGGAAAAAATCAAAACTAGAATATTTTAAAAGCTTTTTGTTATACTAGCTTTAAAATAAAGTCAATTGTGTTTTTATGACTTTTTCTAAAATTATTGTAATTTATTGAATCAAATGTGTTTGCATCAGAATGATAGATTCCCCTTCCAAAATATTCTTTCTCCAGTCATAATAATTTTTCCAGGAAGTTGACATATTTTAGTGGCACCTTCATTACTTTTAATCTTATGTGGAAAAATAAGAGAGGAAAAAAGTCTGAAAGACATATTAGGCATCTAGTTTTTTTGTTTGTATATGTTCTGAAATAAATCCTTTATTAGCAGAATTCAGAAATATGTGACAAAAAGTTTTTTCACTGATAAAGCCCTTGTGTATTTTTATATCTGATTTATGTAAAAAAAGATGAAAATTCCAAACCTTTTAAATACTATGTTTCTATATTTTAGGTAGAATGAATGATGATAGATTATCCCCTTTTTGTAAAATTCCATGTTTGTAGCCCTTTTAACTCAGTAGTAGTTCTCAGAAACTGAGGGAGTCCTCAGTGGCAATGACTGTACCCCTTTGGTCTATCCTTCTGTAGTGAAGGATAATATTTTCCAACAGAGAAATGCTTAGGGAGGAAATTTTGTGAAACTGGTAGATGCTAAAGAAACTTGTGAAAATTTACTTTAGGATTGTTTGCTGAACACACTGGTATGTAATCATTCCACATCTTGAAGATTTTGGAATACTTAACAGTTCAAAGATCTCTGGCTTCATCATTCAAGGACATTCTTCCAATGTAAATTGCAACTCACTGTTGTCCTTGCTGTTTTGCCTCTACTTCTCATCTCATGATCAAGAAATTGAAAAAGACAATACATGAATCCTGCAAGAGTATTTCCCCACCCTTTTGTAATTACAAGTGGTATTCATGAATTCCTATGCCTGGAAAAAAGTCATCATTTGGTAGCTAACCAGCTAGGCTGTGCTTTGGATGACAGATATATTGTCCCCAAGCCATACTTAAATCTTTTCAAGCTGGGCATGATTCAATTCAATTCAACAAGCATTAATTAAGCACTTAACTATGTCCCAGGTACTGTGATATCTTCCAGAGCTTATATTCCGTTGGCACAGCCATTGAAAACTCAAAGTCATCACCATAGCAAGATGAAAGCATTGAAATAGGATTTTAGTAGAGAATGTTATGGTAGATTGATAGACTTTTAAAGGTCTCAAAGGAACCTTCTAGACCAGGGGTTTGTAGCACGAGGTCCATGAACTTATTTTTTTAAAAATCCTTTTATAGCTATTTTGATATAATTTGTTTCCTTTGTAGTGCTATGTATTTTATGCATTTTGAAATAGTTATCTGACCAAAGGTCTAAAGGCTTCACCAGATTACTAGAGGAGCTTATGACAAAAAAAGATTTTAAGAACCCCTGATCTATAAATGATAAAATTCATATTATTTTCCCCAAAATATCCAGAAGACTTTTTTCATTCTTAACTGAATTTTTAAAATTCTAAACTTAAAAGTAAAAGCATTCAATATGCACAGCAGAATACAAAAAGAGGATTTTATTATTAAACCATTAATATACATTTCATATGACTTGATTTTTTAAAAATATTTCAAGAATTCAACACATTACTTTCAAAACTGTCCAGCTTGTCTGTGCCTCATTCTAAACTTATTTCTGTTCTCTTCTGTGGATTTTAAAACTGTTTCAATGACCATCTTATTTTTGGCATTACTATTGCTCACCTCTTCTCCCCCAAATCTCCTCTCTTAGAAAAAAAAGCAGGGTGTGGGGCAGACCCTTTAATACATTAGCATAGTCAAGCAAAAGAAATCCACAGAGTGGTCACGTCCAAATGTACATGCCTGTTTCTGCACACTTAAGTCCATCATCTCTAGGGAGGCAGATAACGTCCTTCGTTAGAGATCCTCTGAAAACCTGGTTTGTCATTGCTTTGATCATGTTTCTTGTTTTTCAAAGCTGTTTTTCTTTACCAAGTTGCTGTCTTTGTATAAGTTCTGATCACTTATTTCTACATCAGTTAATATTTCCTGGTGTCCTCTGAGAGTGCATCTCGTATTTCCTAGGTGCAATAATTTTCCATTACATTCATTTACCATGCATTTTGTTTAACCATCCCCTAATTGATGTCCTCCTCCTTAGTTTCTAACTCCATTCTTTTCCTTTTTGCAAGGGGATAGTGTCCAATGGGGAACCAGTCCTTGAAACATGAGTAGTGCTTTCTGCATACTCCATATACATGTGGAGACTTGGTGAGCCTGCTTCAGTGCACACATATTGAAGGGGTCCTACTCCCTGATTCAGATAATGCCCGGGTATTCTGTGATTTGTTTCCTGTCAGATTACTGCACAGTGATAAAACTCTTAATTGTCTGCTGAGTTAGAACTGAGTTTGCATACAAAAAGCATGTATGGATTAAATCCCTCATCCCTGGTGGCTAATGAATGAGGAGAAAGGACTACTATAGGCTCCGGGGAGATGAGAAGAAGAGGCCCCAGGTAGTTGCTTTATCTCTTCACCCAGGCCATCTTGTGACTGGGAACAGATAGCAGTTCTGTTTCTTCTGTCTTTGTTATGTTTCTTCTTTCCTCATCTTAGGTGAATGGGTTTGATGGAATGGACCTGGTTACATACAACCTTGTGAGCTGCAAAAGGTCAGAAGAACCATTAAAAGATTCAACAATTGACATCCACAACAAATTCTTTTGGTCGTTACAGAAGTTGCAGAAGTTCTAAGTGAGGAGAAAACCCTGAGGAAGGGCCTGCTGGACCCAACCAATCAATGAATTGACCAGATAGCCAACAAACTCCTGCAAATAAGGGAGCCAACATGTCCATAGGCTACGCCACATTTCTAAGTGAACTGGGAGAAGGAGACTGTTTAGTAGCATCTACTTTTGATAGGTTAACATATATTTGGGGGAATATATAGAGGCTTGTGAGTTATAGTGAGAAAGATGCTTCCAACCTATCAGGTTACACTGAGAATACTGAGAGGGAGCAGTTGTTACCCTCTGAGGCCCAGAAATGCTAGTCAAATACAAATTAGGATAGTAGCCTTTTTTGTTTTTAAGGCAATTGGGGTTAAGTGACTTGCCTGGGGTCACACAGCTAGTAAATGTCAACTGGTTAGTCTAAGGTCAGATTTGCACTCAGGGTCTCTTGACTTCAGGGCCAGTGCTCTATCCACTGCACCATCTAGCTGCCCCAGATAGTAGCCTTAACGCATGTATGTACCATGTTTTACTTTGAGGCTGGAAAATTTCTTTCACTTGTGTCTATTCCCTCCCTAATTTTTGCTTCTTAATTGTCCCACTCTCTCCTCACCTGTTTCTCAGTTGAGTTTGGTGTTTTTCTACAATAAACTGTATACGTTCTACCCTCTTTTGTCCATTTCATATAAAATGAGGTTCATCTGTTATCCACTCACCTCTCTATTTCCTCCAAGTTTGCATACTCTTATTTTCAAACATTGAAATTATGAAAAAAGTCAAATTCCATCCTCTTCTTCCTCCTTCCCACATTAGTGTATTTCTTCTACCTTCTCTTTTCTTTTTCCCTCTTCAAAACCATAGAACCAACTTACCCCCACCCCCAGGTCCTCTGCTTTTCTTATTAACTTGCTCAGTACATTTTGAAGACTGAAGTTCTAAAGACACATTTGTTTCTCATCCCTCTATTAGAATATTAACATTGTATCATCTTGTATCCCCTTCAGGTTGCTCAAATAAATGTGCCTTTCTAGTTTTCTCTGGACTCTTGAGTTTATATTTCAAAGTTTCTACTCAGCTCTGGTCTTTTCATTAGAAGTACTGAAAGTCCTCTGTTCTATTGAAGGTCTATTTTCCCCTTTGTAGGACTATATGGAGTTTTAGAGAGTCAGTTATTGATTGTAAGCCTATCTCCTTTGACTCCATGACCACTCCTTCTTTGCCATAGAAGCTTCCAGGTCTTGTGTGATCCTGGCTATGGGCTGTTGATACTTGAACTGCTTCTTTCTGGATTGTTACAGAGTTGTTTTATTGCATTTTTTTTCATGTGGGAGCTTTGTGACATTTATGGGAATTTTCTTTTTGAAGTTTCTTTCTGAAGGTAGTTTCTTTTTATTTTCGTTTTTTCCTCTGGTTTTAATAGGTTTGGACAGTTTTCATTGATGATTTCTTGAAATGCGGCATCCAGATTTTTCTTTTTTTAAATCAGTTTTCAGTGAGCATAATGGTTCTTAAATTGTCTCTCCTTGACCTATATTCTAGGTCAGTTGTTTTTGACAGCAGATGCCTTGCATTTTCTTCTATTTTTTCAATCCTTTGATTTTGTTCCAATATTCTTTGCTTTATCATGGAGTCGTTGATTTCTATTTGGTCTAGTCTAATTTTCAGGGAATCCTGTACTTGGGAAGGGTTTACCAATTTTATTCTAAGCTATTTAACTTCCAAGTCTCTCCTCTAGAGCTTTTATTTTGTATTTTTGTATTTATTGCTTCATTTCTCCTAGACATTCAAGTACTTACAAAAAAAATCCACTTTTTTCCTTTGAGTCTTTGTTTGTAGTTATAATGGGGTTACACTCTTCTAGGTTGGACAAATCCAATAGATAGATTTTTTTTAGTGGTCTTTTTCGCATCATTAGTTTCTAAATTAAAGCTTTGTGCCAAGGCCAGGACCACAGCCACATTCTGCTGTACTTTTGGGTGGGGCACTCTGCCTTGTTTAATCTCAACTTGGGTCACCTGGTAGTTTCCTGTGCCTTTCAACTCATGGGGTCAGGTTCCCCCTGGATCTTTGAGGTTTAATGTGCTGTGTCTTCAATTACGATGTGTCTTAGGTATGTTGTACTAGGGATATTGAAGCCCTAGAGGCTGGGATATACTACATGCCTGCTGCCAATCCTGCAGTAGTCAGTGTCTCAAAATGTGGGTTTCTGAACTCTTTAGGCTTTTGAGGGCAGCCATTCACTCTTGCTGCCTCTTGATAAAGATTGCTTTGCAGTCTATATGTGTTCTGGTTGTCTCTGGTTGCACAGGGAATATTCTAACTTGTTGACTTACACT